TTTACTCAACCACTTTGCCTCGGATCCACCTCTCGGTTGCATCCAATTGTGTAAATTGCTTACTGTACGTACTGAGTTCTCCGTCTTCCCCGGCTTCTTGTATCGCTAACGTCCCCAGACAAAACATTACATTCCGTCCGTTTTTCCCTTCCATTCCATGTCCAAGAAATCTAATTAGCCCATTCTCGAAACGATTCTCGTGTTCTTAGCGTAGCTGCTATCCGCAATACATTAATCTTGCTCATCTTGTCTGTCCATGCCATAAAAAAATAAACATTTATGTTGCTTTAGTTTGCTGCGTAGGGTCTGTGTAATGGTACAGACTTCCATAATAGAGGGTTTTTTTTGTGTTAGATAGCTTGAATAAAAATGTGTCGTTAAACCTGCCACCACCCGACACAGCCAATTAGTAAGGTTTGTCACGTTAAAAAAATGTGTACAACCTTCACAACCGTACATGAAAACAGCACTGCAGTATGTAACAGTACAGTATTCCACTCCTTGTTCTCATGAATAATTTATTACTCTTCCAATATAGATCCCATTTTCGGAAATGCATTTTTTGTCAATGTTATTCTTCTGTTTATCTCCGTGGCGTGCTTTCCATCTACAGTTATCACGCCACCTAAAGTGTTACAATGCTCCGCCTGCTTAACGCCGGTGTCACTCTGACCGGACATTCAGGAGTAACTTTCCTCATTGACATGACCATCATACACGCAGTGTTTTTTTTTACAGGTGATTGTTCATCTTTTCTTTCGACTTTCTGAACGTTATTTTATCCAGCACGTTTAGCAAATCTCTCTCGGCTTCTGCTCGCACACCCAGCTTTAACTCCTCTCCTCATGCACAGAAACTCACCCAGCCTCTCCCCCAACTCTTAACGGCTGCCGTTAACCACGGTGGCGAGATGTTAACTACATCGCCTGGTATACAGGAGGCCGTGGAGTCGTTCACGACCCTGACGCCTGCTGTTCTATTACTTGGTCGCTATGAATTCCCACGTGTGAAGCCACTTCGTTGTGACCAGGTCACTTCTGAGAAAGGGCTCTATAGCTCAGTGGGTCTAACCTGCTAAAATAAAAAAATAGTTTAGTCTTTTTTTAAATAGGTAAGGCCCACTGAGCTATAGAGCTCTTTTTTCAGAAGCAATGTGGCTATCACAAATGATCATCACGTGGACATTTATAGCTGCCAAATATTCGAAACGGATGTTGACCTAAATGTGGAGGGAAACACAGAGGGAACCCGGTGAAAAAGCCACATGACCACGGGGAGAGAGACGTGCAAACTCCAATATACCGGCGTCAGGGTCGGGATCGAACCCACGACCTCCGGCATACCAGGCGAGGTAGTTAACAACTCACCACCACGGCACCCAATGTGCTTTCATGATCACTCTCGGGCCTTCTCCATCTGGGTCAGGGGTCGGCGACCTGCGGCTCCCGAGCCACGTGCGGCTCTTTAAGGGACTGCCGCTTCGTGACCGTTATTTATTTCGGGACCAGCACGTCTCGAATTCACCACGATGCTTTGCGGGCCTCTTGAAAAATTTTAGTTGTTCTTTTTGAACGAATTCATAAAAAAAAATGGCTCTTCTTGTTATGTTGGTTTCTGACCCCTGGCTTAGATAAAATAAAATCCCGAGTAATATCATGAAATTCTGCATTTTCTCACATGATCAAAAACCTCTGTTTAATCAATGAAACACACCTGCGGTAGCAATCTTTCTGAACTCGCATTGCCCGTTCACTCAGCATTCTGTAAATATGGCATTGTTTTGGTCCATCGCCAATCACTACGCCACACCTGTTGTTCCTTTGCAATTTCTGGATGGAACTTATTTCCTTACTCTTTCCGCGAGCACTCTCAATATGATTTCAGCAATGTGGCTTATTAGACGTGTTGCTCTGTACAATTCACATTCTTCTGCACGAGGTTGTTGTGAGAGAGCGATGAATATCGATTTGCCCAGATTCGTCTAGGGTCCCCGCGGTGGTGAGATGTTAACTCCCTCGCCTGGTGTACAGGAGGTCGTGGCTTCGATTCCGACCCTGACGCCTGCTGCTGCTGCTGCTGCTGTTTATCTTTCAGTTTGCGTCTCTCTCCCCGTGCTCACGTGGATTTTTCTCTGGGTTCTCTAGTTTTTCCCTCCACATTTAGAATCAACATCGCAATTAGAGTTTGTGCCTGTTATACATTTCCACGTGATAAGCCACTTAGTTTGGCTATCATTTGTGGCCAGGTCGCTTCTGAAAAAAAGCTATATCGTTCAAGTGGGTCTTACCTGGTAAATTACAAAATATAGTTTCTAGTAGTTTCTGTTATACATCCCGTGCCGCAAGTTGTAATTCGCTGCTTTTGTCACTTGATTTATGCCACAATCATCAAGCTCTCCAATGATGTCTACCGAGATATTATCTTGTCCCCTGCCATATTTCATGTTCCTGATGGGGCGTCAAAGTTCATCTTTTAAAATCACCAAGACACCACGAAGACAATCATCAGACGTAATCATGAAAACGTGGAATTTATTTAAAGACCTCTCCAATCTCGATACACTTATTACATCTTTAAAAACTCTCCTCTGTAAAATATTTATTTTTATTATTATTCGACTCGTTTACCCAGGAACGCATCACTGAGTCTGAAGGCTCGTTTTACAGGAGGCTCCTGCTAAGGTTTTTTCGCTGTAAAGGGAACGATTTTGCTGCCGCGTGTGATCCCAGTTGCGTTATGTGCAGGCACGTCTTTCAGCGTGGGAATATTTGGTTGATACGAGTCACATTCTAGATTTGAAGCTTTCGTGACTGCAAGGATCCATACTCTTTGGTTCTATTCGGTAAAGTCACGTAGGTCGTGATTTTTGTTATTTTATTTTTACCTACGTGACTTTACCGAACGGAACCAAAGAGTACGAGTCACACTTCACATTGCGCGTGGTGGTGGTTTTTGTTGTTGTTTAGCTATGGGAGAAAATCAGAGCACCCTGGGAAAGAAACTCAAATGCAGAACGGGGCCGGGGGTGCGGACATACAAACTCCACACGGGGAAAGACGCCACCCCAAATCGGGAATCAAAACGCGGTTCCGTTCCGCGTTCCGGCTGTGCGAGGCGGTAGGAGCATTGCCACTGAGGAATCGTTTGTCACAATATTCGGTCAGCCGTTGGGTACGACGTCAAGGTGTTGCAGCCCGAGTATTGGGATCAGAATATTTGTTTATACTGCCTGTGTCGGGTGGTGGAGGGTTACGACACATTCATACTGACGCGATCTAAGCCAGAAACCTTTATGAATAATATTGGTCGCAAAAGCCTACGTGTGTAACTGGCCATAAACTTATTTTTGCACACATGTCCACTAGGGGCACGGTGTAAGAACGCTCCAACAACAAACAACACAAACAACACGTGATAGGAGTGCAAAGCACCAGAAACTTAAAGAAACTACCCAAACACGAACAAATACAACAACTAAACCATCCCCATCCTAGCAGGCAAAGACCACTGAGGTATCAACCTTTTCATTCAAAAGCGACCTACCCACAAATGAAAGCTCAACAAAGTGTCCCCGTCATTTGGTGGATTCTTGAGAGGCCACGCGGCTCAACCGCGACAACCCACGCAGGACACTCGGGGCTCAGGGGGACACCAGCGGGGTGTCCATACGCACGCACGTAGATCCGCGTGCACATTGCAGACGCGTCGCGCTTCAAAACGCGTTGCTTCCGAGATAAATATTCCTTTGCGGGGGGGGGGGGGGGGGGGGGGGGGTGGGTGTAAATCCGCCTTGCGTGGTATGTGGAGCAGGGTTGGGGAAAATATTTGTGGGGGTTTTTTTTCCCATTACCGATAACTGCGTGAAAATAAAAAAAGTTAGACCACGGTTATCGGTTTTGCCGCACGCACGTGGAAGTGTTTAGAGCGATTAAAACTAAAGGTCTCTCTTTTATAACAGGGAATTTGAGGGCAGCTCCGACAGTGGTGGCTGGGTAAAGGTTGGCACACTGGGTTTGCAATCCAGATGTCGCCGGTTCAATTCTGACCCGCCCTTACTAGAATATCTGTAAAACAAAAAGAGCTTCATAGCTCATCAGATTCCCCCTGGGCTAAATAAAGATTCTCATTTAATGTGATTTCCCGCCGTGGTGGTTCAAACACCAGGGCAAGTTTCTTGAACTGCCACCCTCACCTCTTGTCTGTCCAGCAGGGGGAATGAGGTCATTTATTTTTAGTGACCAGCTAACCATTTGTCTACTTTGCACTCCGATCGTTTTTCGTTGTATCGTTTTGATGTTGTAACTTGCTGACCTCTCCCCCACCCCACCGTACTGGACATCTGTGAGAAAAAAAAAAAAGATCTTCATAGCTCGTCGGATTCCTCCCCCAGTCTCGGTGACCACTCTGATTCCCATCTTCTAAGACGTCTGCGCAATGCAGGCGAGTAGGCCGATTAGAGTGTGGGGCGGGGGAGAAGGGCCTTGCCTGCCATCAGTTGGCATGAGCGAGAGGACGGGCGCTCGCAGGGCCGGCGCCTCTCACCTGTCGACCGAGGAGACGGCTACCGGGCCCCTGACTCTCGGAACTGGTAACCAAATCTCAAATGGTTACCGGGGTTACCGGCTTCCATTCGTAACGAGGCGAGTAATTAGCTAGCACAGGAGTGTTGTGGTGGCTGTGTGTGTGTAGCGGTTAGCGCTACGCTGCGCTACGAACCCGACGGCCCGAGTTCGATTCCCGCTCACGGCTAACACCAGTGACGATTAGCTGAACGGTTGCTGGGCCTCCCCTAGGTCGACTCAGCCTCAAATAAGTACCTGGTGCGGTGTGTAAACATCGGGGAGTGGTGCTGGCCGCTCACCACCTCGTGTACCGTTCCGGCCTTCATAGGTGCTCGCCAACAGCACTTGCCCCTACAGTCTATTAAAGGCTGTACGGGGGGTCTTTGCCTTTGTGGGGGGTGTGAGCTAACTGTGCTGTGTGTCTGTGTGTACCTGCAGAGGACCAGCAGCTTCGGGGGATTTGACCTTTCCGCCCGGATTAGTGGCTCTACCTCTTCTGATAAGGCGAACTCACCCACAAAGCATGTACGCCACCCGCACCTGCACCCACTCACCAAGCATGCACCTGCACGCTCTCACACATTCACTCATTGGGTAAAGCCACAGAGCACCACCGCCCCCGTGCTCTGAGACGGCCACTGCCGCCCCCAGGGCTCCGTGGCGAGGGGGGACGACTCGACGCTGGACGGTCGCGGGAGCCGGCGTGCCGGCGGCGGCGGCGGCGGCGGCGGCGCCGACAGCTTCCTGGGCAAGAAGGTGAAGTCGGTGCGCGAGTCGGTGCGCAAGACGGTCACCAAGCTCACCAAGGCCAACTATGAGGTGCTGGTGAGTTGTCCACGCCCGACGGCACGCCGGGCCCACGCTGGGGGCACACTGGCGGCACACACTGGGGGCACACCGGGAGCACACCGGGGGCACACTGGCAGCACACTGGCGGCACACCGGGTGCGCTGTAGGGAGGGAACGCGTCACGAATGACGTGTCGCTGTAATTGGATAATAATAATAATGACGTGAATGTTTAGTGTCACGTATTGGCACCAGTGTCATTCATGCAAATTGCATCTAACGCCACATCACGCGCAGCTTGAAGACAGCAGCCAAGCAGTGAGCCGGCACTCCCAACAATTGCCCAAGCTCTGCAGTCCCTAGATATATTAAGATGGTTTCAGCCAATGAACGAGGGTTCATGCAATGTGGGAGGAACCTGAAGCATGCGGGGAAACGCTGACGGGAACCGCGAGATGATGCCACTCCCCACTTTGCCGTACCACCTTCTGGACAGCTAAGGGTATGGCATCGCCACGACGCTCACGGGATGGGAGTTTTGCAACATTCGTGCGGTGATCCACCAACCCTTGCTGCCTCCTCAGTGCTGGATTACAGGCCACGTGCATAGCCGCCACCATCTGGCTTATCCCGTCAAAGTAAGATGGTTCAGTGACAGGCCTCACATCTTGACTATATTGTTACTTTACCAGGTAAGGCCCACTGGGCTACGTAGCAACCTTTTCAGAAGTGACCTGGCCACAAGTGATAGGTTAACGAAGCGGCTGATCATCACGTGCAAATTTGTAGCAGCCAAATACTCCGAACGCGTGATGTTGATTATAAATCTGGAGGGTGACAACCAGAGAACCCGGAGAGACACACATACTCCAAATATACGGGGCATCGTCAGGGTCGGGATCGAACCCACGACCTTCCCGTATACCGGGCGAGGGAGACAACATCTCCCAGCCACCGTGGCGCCCCACAGGGTCAACGCCTCCCATTGGCCGGATCAACCTGCGGGCGAGGGGATGCCACGCGAATCTCCATCGCCGATCTCTCCTCTTCCCTCCCTGCGCCCTCCCCCCAAGCCCAAGAGTTCGGACAAGCTGCCGCTGTGCCAGCCGCTGAGCGCGGACGACAGGGAGGGGGGCGCCCCCCCAACGGCCCAGCCCGAGGCGGGAGCCCAGCCCACGGGCGACTCCATGGAGAGCCTGCGCAGCTCCTACAGCGGACACAGTTCCAACAGTGAGCGGCACAACGCAATGAATGGCTCAGGGCCGCCCCTCTCTGTCCCTCGTCCGTCCCTACACGCTGAGAAACTCAAGCGGTGTTTTTTGTTTTACAAATCCCGTCAGCCCACGTTGCCTTCTTTCTGGGAGTGCATTATGTATATATTGTCGACATCTTCCTTCTGGGAGTGCATTATGTATATATAGTCAGTATGTTTCTTCCGGAAGTGTGTTATATATTATCAATGGAGGTTTTTTTTTTTTGTGGGGTGGGGGGTTAGATCGCATAAATATAAATGTGTCGTTAAAAACCGCCAACACCGAACACGGCCAATTAGTAAGATTTGTTACGTGAACAAAAGACCCCAATGCGTTACTGGTACAGCACAGGCGGCAGCGCAGGTGGCACCCTGATGATCAGGCTGCCACCTGATGATGCTGGTTGTAATTACTGGCAAAATGCCACGGTGCTCCAATTGAAAATGTTGTCAGTTTACTCTCTTAACGCACCGGTGTGCTGCACTAGTCACTAATTAGCACGTTTTGTTTACGTGACAAACCTTGCTAATTGGCTGTGTCGGTTGATGGCGGGTTTAACGACACATTTGTGTTTATGCGATCTAACCGTACATATATTGGTCGCGAAAGCCTACGTGTTAAACTCATTTTATATATTTTCAGCATCTTCCTTCTTGAAGTGCAATATATATAGTTATTTTTAGCAGCATTGGTTTAATGCATGGACACTCTGCACCGATATTGCCATTCAGTGTCTCATCAGCAGAACCAGGCTGGCTTACACCAATACTGTTGAGCTGTCAGATAAGCAATGATCCTTGCACAGTATCCAACAGAGCGGATCACTCAGCCCATCATAACACTCCCATATAAAACATACAACTCGGCACGTTCATCAATAGCACTGTGGTCTTAAAAGGAAACGAATTATAGTCGACATTCCGGACGATCGACCTTCACGTTAGTACTTCTTCTTGTGCAATGGAGAAGGGTCATTGCCCAAAACGTCACCTATTGTGAACGTTTCCTTTTAAGGCCACACAGTGTTAGCGACGAATGTGTGGGATTTGTTGTTGTTGTTCGCGCTAGTGCATCATTTCCGATGCAGCTACATCACCCCATAATTGGTTTCGTTTTGATAACACTACCATAATAATAATGTCCTCTCTACAGTCATATACCGCGCACCACGGTCATGTATGTTGAATTGCAAGGTTCACTCGACTGAGCGTGTGGATGTGATTAGAAGGCTCCCTCTGGGAGCATGCCAATTCCCTTGTATGACTCACAATGCTGCGATATTATTGCAATAGCAAGGCTTTGTCTGTGAGCGTGTACCTGCAAGAGTAAGGCTCTCTCTGCAATCATATAGATCGAATAGCTGGGCTCGCACATCGTACCACACATTGTAGTAATTCCATATCACGAAACCCTAAGGCAGTGAGTGTATCTATCTATGTATATTGAATTTTTTTCGCACCTTGCGTAGCCAACCGAAATAATCGGAGGTACAGCGGTGGGCAACCTGCGGCCTGCGTGCCGCATGCATCCCAGGGCCCCTGGTGATGGCCTAGTCCAAGTGTGTGTTGGGCGTGGTGCGTGGGGGTCACGATGAGTTCACCAGCACGGTGTCAAGCTTGCGGCCCACTGGGCTGAAGGAGGGCTGCTCGTGTGGCCCTCCGGCTCGTCTGGGTTGCCCACCGCTCATCTCTAGAGGGGAGGCCGGCCGACTCGCCCACCCCGTCCTGCGCCACGCCGTGTGTGTGTGCACGCCATGTGTGTGTGTGTTTGTGCACGCCATGTGTGTGTTTGTGCACACCATGTGTGTGTTTGTGCACACCATGTGTGTGTGTGTGTTTGTGTTTGTGCACACCATGTGTGTGTGTGTGTTTGTGTTTGTGCACACCATGTGTGTGTTTGTGTTTGTGCACACCATGTGTGTGTGTGTGCACGCCATGTGTGTGTTTGTGCACACCATGTGTGTGTGTGTGCACGCCATGTGTGTGTTTGTGCACACCATGTGTGTGTGTGTGCACGCCATGTGTGTGTTTGTGCACACCATGTGTGTGTTTGTGCACACCATGTGTGTGTTTGTGCACACCATGTGTGTGTTTGTGCACGCCATGTGTGTGTTTGTGCGGCCACGCTGCGTGTGTGTGTGTGTGCCACCACGCCGTGTGTGTGTGTGTGTGTGCTGCCACGCTACGCCGTGTGTGTGTGTGTATGCCGTCACGCCGTGCGTGTGTGTGTGTGTGCCACCACGCCATGTGTGTGTGTGTGTGCCACCACGCAGGCGGGCAGACCGTGACGACCTCGGACTCGGGGGGCCGGGCGGACGGCTGCTGCCAAGCGGCGAGCGGCGCGGCCGGCGGCGGCGGCGGCGGCGAGGAGGAGGGGCCCGGCTACTCGGGACCCTTCTGTGGGCGCGCGCGAGTCCACACGGCCTTCACGCCCAGCCCCTACGACAGCGACTCGCTCACGCTGCAGGTGGGCAGGCTCGCGCCCCGCGCTCCCCCGTTGTTGCGTCTGCACGTTGCTGGCGCACTGCATTTGAGAAAGTGCTGGTGCTGCCCCCTCGGGCAGCAGGGGTCAACCTAGGCGACCTTGGAACGTGCCCGCCTTCGCGGCTGAGCAGCCCCGGTCCACGTGCCCATCGCTGGCCGGCTGGCCGGCTGGCCGGCTGGCCGGCCGACGTCGGTGGAGTTTAACGGACGCGTTTGCGATTCGCCGTACGTATCGGAAACGCGATAGAGTGCCCGTGTACGCTTTAGTTCCCGAAAGCATTTGCGAACAAAAAAAAATCTTGATTTTGCTTTGTTCCGATTTAACCGTTCCTGGGGATGCTGATGCCACAGCGGCGTGTAATGGTCTGCACGCTGGATCCTGCCATCCCAGAGGTCACCGATCCGATTGTAGCGTCCAGCACGGCGGTTGAAATAACGGCACAAGTTTCTCAAATCCCACCGACGCGTCTGCACGCTCGCCAGTGTACGTGATCGGAGGTGCAGGGGGGGAAGGACAACAAACTAAACACGAGAAGCAGCTCTAAAGAAATGCGTTTTGAATCTAGGTGATCTAAAAGTGCATAGCTCCAGTGGCTTCCTAATCTCGGGAGGAAGAGCGTTCCAGGCGGTCAAAATACTTTCCGCAGGGGCTGTCTAGAGGCGCTCTCTTTCTGAAGGCCCTTCCATCAGCAGTGGACACGAGCAAGTCCTTGCAGCGCTGCGCCTTTGTCCCCCGTTGTCACCTACACACTACACACATCTTTGCTGTCTCTCTCTCTGTTCCTCCTCCTCCTTGGCCTCAATCCACGCTCTCTCTCTCTCTCTGGAACTTCCCCTCCACGTTAAGCAGTCACCTTCGCTCTCTAGTTTCCGCTCCTCACTAAAAACTCACTTATTATTCCCTAGCTCACCCAACGGCCCCATAATCTCCCCCCTCATGATCACTGCCACCGTTACTGTCCCCTCTTCATATTCCCATCATACGGCTATCACTCATTCACCCCATTCATCCAATCCTTGCGTCATCATTTACCGCCATAATCGATTTCACTTCCACCGAATGCACGCACCACCACAGATTTGCCCCCGTCGCTTCCTCTAATCTATCCCATTCATCTCTTCTCCACCGTTGCACTCACGCACGCGTCGTGCCGCTCTTAAATGCTTGGTAAAGCGCCTTAGCGAAGGCGCTCGATAAACTCCGCGAAGATCAGGCGAGATGGGCTTGCGTCGCGTGCGTCGCTCGGCGCGTCCTCCCCCAACTCCGCTGCTTCCGCGCCTCGCAGAAGGGCGACGTCATCGACGTCATCAGCCAGCCCCCGATGGGCACGTGGATCGGGCTGCTCAACCGCAAGGTGGGCACGTTCAAGTTCGTCTACGTGACCGTGCTGCCCGAGGGCGAGACCAACAACAACAACGGCGGCGACGCTGCGGGCGCCGGGCGCAAGGCCCGCCCGAGGCCCAAGCACCGTCGGCCCAAGCCCAAGACGGTGGAGGAGCTGCTGCAGAGGATGCACCTGGAGGTGAGGGGGGCTCCCCCCCCCCACCCCCCCCCCCGACCCACCCCCCCCCCCCACCCCCCCCCCCGACCCACCCCCCCCCCATATAGAATGAATAGGGGCACGGTTGATGTTGAAAGTTAATGAGTCCTCGTCATCCATTGCCATACTCGAGTTCAGCAAAGTGGTGTAACGCGATGGTGACGTGTGCGGCACCAATACTTTCTAAAAGGTAACCTGCGTTGAGTTTGACCTCAGTAATGCGGGCGCCACGGTGGGGAGATGTTAACTGCCTCGCCTGGTGTACAGGAGGGTCGCGAGTTCGATCCCAACCCTGACGCCTGCTGTATATTTTGAGTCTGCGTGTCTCTCTCCCCGTGGTCGCGTGGATTTTCCTCCGGGTCCTCCGGTTTTTCCCTCCACATTTAGAATCAACAACACGCGTTCAGAGTATTTGGCTGCTATGAATGTCCACGTGATGATGAGCCACTTCGTTGAGCTATCGTTTGTGGCCAGGTCAGTTCTGAAAAAGAGCTGTATGGCTCAGTGGGCCTTAACTGGTAACATTAAACCAATTTAAATGTTTGTTTAACGCAGGTGAGCACTCAAAGAGACCAGGATGAGTGACTCGGACCACGGGCATTAGTTTGCCAGGAGGGAGCGATGGTTGCTGCTCCTGTGTGCGTGATCCCAATTGAGTAATCTGCTGGGGGTAACTTTTTTGCTGGCACCCGGGTTAGTGTCATACGTAGAAGTAGACCTGGGTCGCCAAAATGACAGGCCCAATGCTGCGAGCACCACGTGCCGCACGGGGACAGCTGCCACTGGGCGTGCCCCTAGGCTGGGCTTACACAGCAGCGGCAATCATCCCTACTCACCACTGGAAGCAGACTAACGCACACACAGGGACAGCTGCCACTGGGCGTACCCCTAGGCTGGGCTTACACAGCAGCAGCAATCATCCCTACTCACCACTGGAAGCAGATGAATGCACACACAGGGACAGCTGCCACTGGGCGTGCCCCTAGGCTGGGCTTACACAGCAGCAGCAATCATCCCTACTCACTACTGCAAGCAGACTAACGCACACACAGGGACAGCTGCCACTGGGCGTGCTCCTAGGCTGGGCTTAAACAGCAGCAGCAATCATCCCTACTCACCACTGGAAGCAGACTAACGCACACACAGGGACAGCTGCCACTGGGCGTGCCCCTAGGCTGGGCTTACACAGCAGCAGCAATCATCCCTACTCACCACTGGAAGCAGACTAACGCACACACAGGGACAGCTGCCACTGGGCGTACCCCTAGGCTGGGCTTACGCAGCAGCAGCAATCATCCCTACTCACCACTGTAAGCAGAATAACGCACACACAGGGACAGCTGCCACTGGGGATGTCCATCCTGGTTAGACCGTTACGAAGCGCGGGAGATGAAACGTTGACGTCAAGGCATTGGCCGAGTCTCTGGGAGACTTTGAGAGAGTTTTAACACGTGGTAGTAGTAGGGGCTTTTGCGACCAATATTATTCACAATAGAGGATATCGTGAATATAAATGCATCGTTAACCGCCGCCACCACCCGACACGGCCAGTTAGTAAGGCACGCAAACAAAACGTGCCAATCAGTGACTACTTCAGCACACCGGTGCGTTGTCTGTTTGCATGTTTTACCACAAGTATGTGTGGTTAATGCAGACTTGACGCCTTGCAAAAGGTGTCTGTTTGGTATTGGAACATCTCAGCACCTGTTCTACTGCCATAAAGGGTAAAACCAATTCTTATTTTCGATCATTCTTGATACTGGAAAGGAGATCCCATGGATTTAAAAAAACGCTACAATTTCCACGATCCAAGCACCGTGACGTTTCGGCGGTGAACACCACAGCAACCAGCTACACCGGGCGATTTGCCAGAATTTGTGAAGAAGCCCTCCCTAGGTTCGGTCCTTAGCGGAAGCGGGGCCTTTTCGCGCGAACGTGCGTTGCGTGTGCGTTGCGTGTGCGTTGCGTGTGCCTCGCGTGTGGGGCACGCAGGAGTACATCTCCACGTTCCTGCTCAACGGCTACGAGGACCTGGACACGTTCAAGCTGCTGGAAGGCGAGGATCTGGACGAGCTGCTCATCCACAACGCGGAGCACCGCGCCAAGCTGCTCACCGCCGCCGAGCTCCTGCATGACTACGACCGTGAGCGCACCCCACAAGCCGCCCCCCACTCCTCCCCGGCCGGCAGATAGAACGAGTACCGGTCGGCAAGCCATGATCAAAAAACTAAAAAGTATTAACGGGCCCACCGAGAACAGGCCCAGACGTTGCCTCCAAAGTGGCGAGCAGCAAACAGCACGGGCAGGGGTTGTTATCGATGAATGTGGAGAAGGCGTTTTCTTGAGTTTGAGCAGGGTTCATATCCTTTGGGTCTTTCGGTAAAGTCACGTAGATAGGTTCAAAGAAAATAACAAAAAACTACGACGTTTCGATCGCAACGCAACGCGTTCGTCTTTTTTCCTTCCTGATGACGACCGCTTGTGTTGCGATAGAAACGCCGTAGTTTTTGTTGTTATTTTTTGTTACTTTCTTTGAACCTATCTACGTGACTTTACCGAGAGACCCAAAGAATGTGAATTCCTGCGGTCACGAAAGCTTTAAGTCAAGATTTGTGCAGGGTTGTCCTCGTGAGAGCGTGGGGGGCAACAAGACGATGGGAACTCCAAAGTGGACGCCTGCTGTATATTTGGAGCTGGCGGTGTCTCTCTCTCTCTGCCCGTGGTCACGTGGATTTTTCTCCGGGTCCTCTGCTTTTTCCTTCCACATTTAGAATCGGCGTGCGTTATGAGTATTTAGCTGCTGCTATACATTTCCACGTGATAAGCGACTTCGTTGGGCGATCATGTATGGCCAGGTTGCTTCTGAAAGGGAGCTCCCTCGCTGAGTGGGCCTTACCTGGTAAAATAAATATAGTTTAATCAAATAGTTTAGTTTTGACTCGGTCGTATGTCAACCACGGTGCTAACCTTCTGCATATCTGCCGGAGAGTCGCTCTGCATCTCAAGCCGTCGTCAGGAGGATGCCGCTTTGGTCTCGGGCTCGACGTTGCGAAGACATTCCGTCCGCTGACACGCGTCCCTCTCTCTGCGCTTGTGTGTGTGTGTGTGCGCGCGTTGTGCACGCGCACGGGCAGACATGCCGACTACCCACAATGCAGCGGAGGCGAAGGAGGCGGGGGGCGGCACTGCCGCGCCCGCTGCCGCCGAGGAGGAGTCGCCGCGGGACTCGGGCTGCTACGAGAGCTCCGAGCCGCTGGACGGCCCCGGTAGGGAGGAACACGGCGGGCAAGCCGAGGCCTCTGCCGATACGGCCACGGAGTTGTGACCGCCCGGGTTCGAGCCCTGGCGCTGGGTGTCTCCCTCTCTCTTTCTCTTTTCAGTGGGTTCGCGAGAGCCGTGGCAAGGTGCCGAACTGGCAAACGTTCACGGCCGGTATCATTCACGGTCGGTTTGTTTTGGGTTAGGTTGTGGCAGGCTTTGATTACGAGTTCGATTCCTGCTCACGTCCAACACCAGTGACGATTATCTGAACCGGTCCTGGGCCTCTCCTAGGTCGACTCAGCCACAAATGAGTTCCTGGTGCGGTCTGTAAAAACATCGCCACTGGGGAGACTAAGGCGGTCAGGCGTGGTGCTGCCCACCCACCCCCTCATGTGCCACGCAAGGCTTCATATGTGTTCGCTAACAGCACTTGCCCCAAAATTCTGTTCAGGATACACGGGGGATCTTTGTCTTTTATGCATGTTGAACGTCTTTCGCACCGTACGTAGCCAACTGCACTAATCGCAGGTGCGGGGGGAAAGGACAACAAATTAAACACGTGTCACGACGCGTCGGTTGATCGATCAAAATCTATTTGTTCCGCTCGCTATGCTTGCGTTGAACCATTTGCATATCTGACCGTTTGATTATTCACGATTTCAAGGCACATTATTGACTAAAGGTATATTTATCCCAGTGGGTCGAACAAAACTTCATGGGATACAGAGAGAAAAAAATAAAAGAGACTATACACATTAGATGGTAAAACTGAGATAGAAGAGTGTTATGTCATTGATATGCTGGAGTGCATCGGTTGTAAATGTTTACATGCTACGAGCCAGCAACCTCTGAAAGTCTCGGTTCAAGTCCCGAGCCTCGGTGCCTTTCACGGCTCTCAGGAGTTGGAGCTGCCCGGCTTTAGTTTTGGCAGAATGAGATGATGCTGTAGTTGGGACCAGCTCTACTCCTCTGGCGTGCTGGATTCTCGCACGTCCATGTCAAGCCGAGGCCATTGTGTTCCCGTGACGTGAGTCACGGGAAACGACACGCCAGGTCCAGTGTAGCTGGACGTCGCTCCTCAACTGGCGCCTGCAAGATCGGGTCGGAGGATCACGCGGACGTCATCGTTTGCCGTGAGACGTCCAACCCTCTGAGCTGGAATGAGGCGGGTAGTTTCGTAGTACGAAAAGTTGGTTAGCGGGCCGTCTGTGTGTATTCTTCAGTGTTGTGCATTGCGGTTTGCTCACCGCGCGCTATGAATCTGGAAACTTGAGTTACTTTCCTGGCCACGGCTATCGTCGATGTGGAGTAACATCTGAACTGCTAAGCTGCACTGACTTGCATGTCACAACGTGGTCACACAATCCCCGCGATCAATGTAGCTCGGAGAGGCTGTGAGTTAGTGTTGAGGGTTAGTGTTGAGACTCTGGGTCAGTGTTGAGGCTGTGTGTCAGTGTTGAAGCTGTGGGTCAGTGTTGAAGCTTTTGGTAAGTGTTGAGACTCTGGGTCAGTGTTGAGGCTGTGGATCAGTGTTGAAGCTGTGGGTCAGTGTTGAAGCTTTTGGTCAGTGTTGAGACTCTGGGTCAGTGTTGAGGCTGTGGGTCAGTGTTGAAGCTGTGGGTCAGTGTTGAAGCTTTTGGTCAGTGTTGAGACTCTGGGTCAGTATTGAGGCTGGGGTCAGTGTTGAAGCTGTGGGTCAGTGTTGAGGCTCTGGGTCAGTGTTGAGCCTCTTGGTCAGTGTTAAAGCTGTGGGTCAGTGTTGAGGCTCTGGGTCAGTGTTGAGCCTCTTGGTCAGTGTTAAAGCTGTGGGTCAGTGTTGAGGCTGTGGTGTCAGTGTTGAGGCTGTGGGTCAGTGTTGAGGCTGTGGAGTCAGTGTTGAGGCTGTGGGTCAGCGTTGAAGCTGTGGAGTCAGTATTGAGGCTGTGTGTCAGTGTTGAGTCTGTGGGTCAGTGTTAAGGCTGTGGGTCATTGTTGAAGCTGTGGGACAGTGTTGAACCTGTGGGACAGTGTTGAGGCTGTGGGTCAGTGTTGAGGCTGTGGGTCAGTGTTGAGGCTGTGGGTCACTGTTGAGGCTGTGGGTCAGTGTTGGGGCTGTGGGTCAGTGTTGAGGCTTTGGATCAACGTTGAGGCTGTGGGTCAGTGTTGAGGCTGTGGGTCAGTGTTGAGGCTGTGGGTCAGTGTTGGGGCTGTGGGTTAGTGTTGAGGCTTTGGATCAGCGTTGAGGCTGTGGGTCAGTGTTGAAGCTGTGGGTCAGTGTTGAGGCTGTGGGTCAGTGTTGGGGCTGTGGGTCAGTGTTGAGGCTGTGGGTCAGTGTTGAGGCTGTGGGTCAGTGTTGAGGCTGTGGGTCAGTGTTGAGGCTTTGGATCAGCGTTGAGGCTGTGGGTCAGCGTTGAAGCTGGGGGTCAGCATCGAGCTGTGTGTCAGTGTTGTGGCTGTGGGTCAGTGTTGAGGCTGTGGGTCAGCGTTGAGGCGACATCGATGCCTCACAGCCTGGTATCCTCATGAGCCACTGGGGCCCTCCGTGGTCCACACCACCAGTGTTTGTGACGCACAGCGAGTCAAGCCGTGATAACCGCAGGGACGCCGCCGGAGGGCTCTAAGTTGGCGCTTTTGAAACGTTTACAATGTAGCGACAGCAAAACAACTAAAACTCCCAACCAACTTCAACTCCCAACCAACTAAAACTCCCAACCAACTAAAACTCCCAACCAACTAAAACTCCCAACCAACTAAAACTCCCAACCAACTTCAACTCCCAACCAACTTCAACTCCCAACCAACTAAAACTCCCAACCAACTAAAACTCCCAACCAACGTTCATCGTTAACAACACTTTTGGCCTTGCAAAGAAAAAGTACCCACTCCAGCCTCACAGGTGGCCGTGAAGAAGGCCCATTGACCGAAATGTCTCCTTAACAGGAACTCCTCTTTTTACGAACATTCGACTTACAAACTTTCAGAGATACGACTAAACTGTTCCCTATGTCCAGCTGCCTGTTTGGACCGAGGGTCGTAAGTTCAACCGCCGTGCAATAGATGGTAGTGGTTGTCGGCCGCCAAGCACCGGCTTCTTTGAGTCTCAGGACCCACACACTGGAAAGTTTGCGAAGGTGTCGGCAGCTGTCCACGATGCTGCCACCTGTCACAAGTTGGTTTGTGAAGAGGAGAAGAAGATAGCGACTGTGCAGACATCTCTTGGTAAGTTTTTCAAGAGAGTAGAGAGGAATCGCGAGCACCAAAGGGAATTCGCATCTGCATCTACAGAACGTGAAGAACCAGTGGCATCTACATCTGCAGAACGTGAAGACCCAGTGGCATCTACATCTGCAGAACGTGAAGAACCAGTGGCATCTACATCTGCAGAACGTGAAGAACCAGTGGCATCTACATCTGCAGAATGTGAAGAACCAGTGACATCTACATCTGCAGAACGTGAAGAACCAGTGGCATCTACATCTGCAGAACGTGAAGAACCAGTGGCATCTACATCTGCAAAACGTGAAGGACCAGTGGCATCTATATCTGCAGAACGTGAAGAACCAGTGGCTTCTGCAGCTGCAGAACGTGAAGAACCAGAGGCATCTACAGCTGCAGAACGTGAAGAACCAGTGGCATCTACATCTGCAGAACGTGAAAAACCAGTGGCATCTACATCTGCAGAACGTGAAGAACCAGTGGCATCTACATCTGCAGAACGTGAAGAACCAGTGGCATCTCCATCTGCAGAACGTGAAGAACCTTTGGCATCTACGTCTACAAGAGATTATACAACTTTTGAAGCCACTCCCCGTGTTGAGTGTACACGCCGTACACCACGTTTGGAATCTACAGGAGTAAAGTTGAACTTACGAACAAATCGACTTACAAACAGACCTCTGTAACCTAACTCGTTCGTAAGTAGAGAAGTCCCTGTATATATATTAGTAATGTTTTTTAATTGCTTTATTTTAGTTATTTTTATTTATTTGTTTTTTATTATATTTTTTATTCTAGTTGCATTTTTTATTTGATGTTTTTTTAATTATTATTTTAAATAGTGCTCGTGCACCACTGCCAACGCAGCAGCGTCGCCAGATGAACTCTTCAACTTTCACAATGTAGTCCTTTCATCTCAACATTGAACAACGTTTCATTTGAAATGTGTTTGCCATTCAAGCATCACGACAACGCCACACTGAAAAGCGCGTTTAATCAGTGACGATTGTGTCATTGTCGCGGAATAAAAAACAAATCAGGCAGTTATGCTTATGTGTCATCACGATCCATTGGCAGATAGCCCCGTAGGTGTCCACTTCACATTTCGTAATTTGTTTTCACTTTCCTCTCTTGTTGCTAATCCGCTCAATCAGTGGCCACGTCTTCCTGGCACCGATCTCTTACGGTCGTCAAGGCACTCTCTGTGAGACGTCTTCATCTCTTTCTGGTTCCCTCCATTGTTCCGAACGACAACAACAACACACTTTTGATTTTTCCTGCTGTTGTCCAAATAGTGCCAAGAATTTACAATTACTTTTTAACGCTTTCTCGCTACGGTTGAAAGCGTTAACGCATGAGCACCGTCCGTTCGTCTGTAACGTGGAGTCTCGGTGATTCTCGCAGAGACGATTCGATACGGACCAAAAATGAGTGTGAAGTTGGGTGGCTTTTTGGGATTCATCCTGGAGAAAAGCGGACACATTGGTCATAGGGTTAAAAAGAAAAACAGTGCTAAAAGTATTTGCCTTGCCGGTCAAGGCGATGGTGTAATTACGCGTGACATGGTGAGATGATGTCATTGCGCATGCCATCATATCTTGCGATGCCACACATGACCGATGGTATAATTTCGTGTGACATGGTGAGATGATGTCATTACGCATGGTATGACATTGCGATGCCAGACATCATGTGACATGTGACGTCATGTCGTTTGTGCGGCCGGGAACGTACATCACAATTATCGCCCCTTTTAAACAAGGGGACACACGCAAGTTTGGAAAGCATTTCAGAATCCATGCGCCCGCGT